ACTCTGGGAAGAACAGTTAGGAGTGAAAAACTTGAGGGAAAAAACACCCCACATGTAATTTCATTACCCAGTGTTCAATACTGTTTACATGTTAACATTGTAGCATACTCTCTCCAACATAACTCCAAAATATTTCTATATGGCATGATACAATTATGAAGCTTAAAGTTTAGCTTGTCAATGTTATACAATTTTTATCAATAATGTTTATTGAATGCCTATTCTATGTAGGGTAATATATTAAGTCTCTTTTATTCTCTGGAATACCTTTATAAAATGTTTAGGCATCAATATCCAAAGATATCCAATTATTTAAAAAAGATATCACAAAGCATATTTTTAAACCATCACAAGCATGTGGTATTGCATCAGTTGCTACATAAAAGGCTGGCTCACGTTATTAAGTAACTCATAAAATTCTATTTTTGACAGCTGTATTTGTCCTGCAAATACAGTGATAAGAGAGCACAAATTCATCACTCTCTAGTATTTTTTTTTTGAATTCTTGTTTTGCAAGTATTCAACATTCAATATCAGAGACTTCAAAGATATAGCAAAAGGAAATTCCTCAAACACTAACTTAGCAAATACCATAAAATTCTCAACTGTTGTTTTATGGGTCTGCTTCCTGAATTGTATTAAAATGTTTCTTTATCTTCCTTTCTTATAGAAAAATTTTTGAAACTAAATGTTGTGTTGCCTTCTGTCTCTATCTCTTTTTCTGTGGGTGTGGATAATCACAATCTTTCCTATCATCCAGAGTAGGAAGACTGAAGTATTAATGACTAAAGCAATTTCCCCAATTTACAAAGAGTTTTAATGCTGTGTCTCCACACATGCTTGGTCTACTTTTTCAATGAAATAGTCCAGTTTGCTGACCAATGACTAGATTCAGAAAATACTAGAATCACAAAATCAGGGCAAATAGAGTTGGGTAGAACCTAGTTGATCTTCTGGGAAATTAAGGCCGAGAGTGGTTAAGGGACTTGTTCAGGATAATGCAACTCACAAGTGGTAGAGACTAGGTTAGATAAGAAATCTTCTAACTTGAAGTCTTGTGTGATTTTCTGCACTTTGCAGCCAAAATCAGGAGAGATTTTCCAATTCTTCCAAAATGATTGAGTTATATTATGTATTCACACTTTGATTAGAGGCTTTAGGTCTGGATAACTAGTTTTTGGAATATTAGGCTTCTATATTACTGGAGAAGTTCTGTTATAATTGTCATTGTATCAGAATATCTGCTAACAAATATTATCTAAAGTGAATCATGTTACAAAATTTAGGGTCCAACAAAATATTTTTTGCATACCCTGGCATGCTAATCTCTAAAATTATAATCTTAAAAATCACGTTTTAACAAAACTATTAGTTCTCCAAATCCGGTCAGAAATTTTGGCTAATAACAATAGAATCCTAACCTGTCAATCCTACAAGTTATCTAATCTCTTTGTGCCTTGTTGTCTTCATTAGGATATTGGGGTGATCATAATCTTAATAAGCTACCTTGTAGTGTTGTTGTAGGAAGGATTAAATAAATTAATATACATAAAGCAGTTAGAATAGGAATGCCAAATACATTTATTTTGCTGTTTTTATTATTACTATTAACTTGTGATCTAAATCCTCATTAACATTTCTCAAATGTTATTAAATATATAATATCAAAGTACCATGTAGATTGGCCATATATTATAGGGGTACTTTATATGAAATCATTGTAAATTATAACATATTGGTTTTTTCCTTTACCATGCAAATGTTCTTAAATCACAACATTAGGTCTTACAATGAAGAAAGATTATCTTTATTGCTATTTGAGTCTCTTTTTTTAAAAACAATTATTTGCAAACTTCTTATATAGCTGTAATAATGTGCTCTAGTTTTCTGTATTTGCAGAATTTTTTAAATGGTCACTTTTAGTAGCTGAATGCTATTTCATTTGTAATGGGATTTCCAGGTGGAATTGGACTTTTTAAATTGATGCATAATAATTGTACATATTTATTGGAATCCATGTGATATTTTGATACATGCAGATAATGTATAATGGTCTAATTAGGGTAACTGGGATATCCACCACCTCATACATTTATTATTTCTTTTTGTTGGGAACATTCTAAATCTCCTAGCTATTTTTAAATACGCAATAAATTATTGTTAACTACGGCCTCTGGTTTAGGAACAAAACCAAGTCACTGGAGTGCCAAGCAGGATGAGAAGGTAGCAGGAAACTGTTTTTGCATTCTTCACTCCCTCACAACACCCCAAGCTTAGAAAACAGACTGGAGAGTTTGAGAGGAGTTTCGGAATTTACACAACTGCTGTTGTGTTTTGAGTCCTAGTTCCTATTAAGTGAGAAAAATTGGGAAGTGCCTCTAAGGCGGGGAGAACAGTAGCAAGGAAACCACTTAGAGAGCTTGATATGTATTCCCTGCCTTTGTGTTTAGGGAACACACTTGGCTAGAGGATGTAACTTGCTGCTGAAATATCTAAACATGAGCAATGGGTCAGCCTGTTGCTTTGATGGTGGCAAGAAGAGGTAGTTGCTTTATGTCACCTGTACGTCCAGATTTTATGAGGTCAGAAAAATGTGTGAGTGTTTCCAGGGGACTAGAGTTTGGCCACATGTAGGAATTTTGTGATTTTCTTCCATCCTCTCCAAGAAGCTGCTTAGAGTGTCAAAAAGAGCTTGGCAGGGGGAGGCTGAGGCCAAGAAAAGTGCAGCCAGGTGAGAGACTCCCAGCAGTGGAAATAAGGATGTCTCTGAGGCTCCTCCACAGTATCCCATAATCTTTAAATACCTAGCAGGCCCAGAGAGCTTCATGCCAGTAGCCAAGTAAAAGCTTCCTTCCCCACTCCGTTACTTTTATCCCTCCCTCTGCTTCAACCCCAAGTCAGAAATCGTAGTGAACAAACTGGTGTAGGAAGAGTAAAGCATAAAGCAGGAAAACGGAAAAGAAATCACTCTCCACCCTGACATACTTGGAAAGGGGAACTAGCTGTAGGTGAATGATGTTTTACGTTTTTATTGGACTTATACTGGACTAGACATACTAATTTTTCAATAAATGATCTTTTATTATCTGAAAGTTACCACAGAAATTATAAAGTTTGCCCTGAATTTTATCTGGAGGAAAAGGAAGAATGAGTACCCAGAATAAAATTAAATGGACAATTGATATTATTTTAGGATTACTTTCTATAAATTCTGCTTATTGAGTATAAAAATTACACATTCATAGTTTACTTAATATTTTCTTATCTTTATGCATTTAGGTTTATGGTAGTAAGGTATTATAAATAATTTCACATTAGATAGGTTTATACATGTCTATTATTATATAATGGATCATTAGAGATATAGTTTAAGAAAGGGAACATTCTTACATATAAATACTGACAGATTGCTTTTCAAGGGGGTTGAAATACTTTCTACTACAACTATCTTTGCATGAATGTTTCAGATACCAAGAAGTTAAAAATAAAAATTGATTTAAAGACATTTTTGATTTTATAGCATTTATGGAAATGTTGCTTAAAAAGGAAAGAAAACTCTTTTCAACTAATTATACCTGAGCAAATGTAAAAAATAAATTTAAGCATATTTGTTTTATAAACTGAAAGTTCTATATAATTTTCTTTATGGATTATGAAATCCCTTATGTAATGGAAGGCTACATAGAAAATTTTCAATCAGTCATTCATTTTGAAGCATAGTAATTTTAGAGATGAAAATATCTAAAAGTTTACTAATGATCTTAAAATAACGACATTTATTAAGTATTTGAAAAACTATTAAATAATACATCAGTATCTCCTTTGACTTAAATGAAACTTTAAAAAGTTAAGAAGAATGAAATAATAGAAACTTCTTTAAATCTTAAAAAAACCTAGATAATACTCTTCATTAGGATGAGAATAACTCAAATAACTTTGAGCATTAGGGTATATCTAACAAAGCATGCCATGATTTATAAGATTAATTAGAAATTAAATGTACATTTTGCAACAGTCTGACAAAGGAGCATCTAATGGAAGTACACTGTTGCATATTTTGTTTTTAATCACATAAGACATTTGTATTCATACACGTACCTGGAAAACTATGTGAGTGAAAGACAATAACTGAGGAAGTACAATACTTTCTCTGAGTTTAAAAAGAGCAACATTATTTCTTGAAATAAGAATTTATTTATCTAATACCATATAGTTTACTTTCTAATGCTTCATAAGTTCTCTAAGAGAAGTTATAAAGACAACATACAGACAATTTCTAACAACCAATGTCTAAAAACATGTCATTATTATAAAAACATGTCTATAAATAGACATCTTATAAAGTTTGCCCTGAATTTTATCTGGAGGAAAAGGAAGAACGAATACCCAGAATAAAATTAAATGGACTAAATTAAATGATATTGTCTGAGAATTACTCTCTATAAAGTAATTAAGAACTTTCTATAAAATTTTAAGATTGTGAATTTTTCTATTTTCCTTTTCAAAAGTGCTACATATAGACAGTGCTCCACATCCTAGACTGGATGGGTAGCTGTTCTGAGAAAACAGACCGCAATAGCTTGGCTGACTAAATGTTAATTCCTAAGACCCGACATCTAGAAGTCCTCCCACATTTGCAATGATGTCTCTGAAAACTAAGTTTATTTCCTAGATTGTTTATTCACTGGTGATGCCTGAACAATAGCTTGGTTCAGCTTCACAGCCTTGGATGGCAAATCCCAGCTGCCTTTTTGTGATAGTCCCTATGACTGTGAACACATTCTGTTTTCAGATGACAAGGTTGAGTTGATAACCCAGAGTGGAAAGAAGGTCACTTACAAAAATTGAAATGATACAATTTCTATCTCATTTGGAAAGGGACATCCATTTAAAGAGTTATACAAATGACTGTTCACGTTTTACATCTTAGGACCTCTAATATTCCCACTGCTGTGTGAATTTAGCGATGAGTCTCAGCAGATGTTGCAAGAAATTCCTACCTGGACCAAGCTATATCCTGTGCGCTGGACCAGTGCGCGGAGGGCTGCTTCCTTCTGGGTGCCGCTCAATCCATCCCCGGATTTGTGATTTGATTCCATTGAGAGTGATTATCAGCAAAAAATCAGGTTAATTAGGGTTGCTCACTGAAACCAAATTTAAGATAAATTAGGTAAATTACTGTTGCCAAATCCAAACTTGTCCTTCATCTTCAGGAAACGTTCTCTATAAATGAGTCATTAAGGTTAAAGCAACTCACAGCTACACACAAATGAGGCCAGTTAAACCTACTCATAAGGAGTTTTTTAAAAAAATGTTCAATATTAGTTGAAATTTAGAAGTCAAAACCAAATAATACCCATTCTCCAATTAGAAGGCAGATCCTCTTATCTCAGGATGTTATCAAGTGCTTCAAAACAAATTAGCTCACACGCCTATTAAAAGAATATGAAGGATGGTCCTTACAGATGTGGGAAGAGGGCACTTAAGGTAGGGCATTAAAACTCTCAGAGACTGAGCTTTTTCTATTCTCTGTGTTACCTGAACATTTACTTCTTCTCTGAAGATAGATTTCTAGAACATAGTGTGCTGGCATCATATATACAGAAGTCATCCTGCAAACTACTATATTTGATAAAAATGTGACATGGATTTTGATAAAAACAAGAACAAGGGATGCTTTTCAGTGAGTGTGGGAAGGGCCTTCTAACACCCAGATCATATGCCACATACACACTCAATAGCATCCATGAAAACCTTTGTAAAACCTAAGAAATGTTGAAAGTTTACATATGTTCATGTTTGTGTCTATATACAGGAATGTATAATTTCATTATTTCATTGTCTATACTTTCTATTTTGGGAACATGATTGGAACCACATTTAACATGTGATGGTTGCTCAAATGCACATGTTCCCAGGACACGGATAATGGCCATTCTGAAGGTTCCAGGCTGTGGTGGTGTGAGGCCGTGGGAGCTCCCATTTGCATAGGTGGACACAGACTTGCTGGGTTAGAGTGTGAGTGGTGCAGTGAAGGTTCTATGCTGGGTCTTCACTCTGCTTACTGTGCTCTGCTGACCAGGACATAGGAAATGTGTTTTATAATGATTTGAATCAAAATGCAACTCTCATATATTTGACTATAGGTCCTTTTGAAAATTTTCAATGTCATGCACATTGCAATTTTCTATACTGCGTTTTGTTGTCATTTAAAGATTCAGATTGAATAGGCCATTAATAGCGTAGGAAACTGGATCAAACATTGGGTGACAGAAAAATAATGAAGCCAAAGTGATCATTTCAAAAAAATCGAAGTATCAAGGTATTCTATTACTAAAATTGCTATTACTTAAGTAAAGGAATAGTAGTAGAATATTACTATTAGTAATAATAGCAAGATTATTGGGACTATTAATACTAGTATTAGTAATAATAGTGATAGTATAATAGTAGTATTTTATTACTAAAGTAGTAGAATTTAAAAAGTCCTCAAACTAACAGACAAGCATCATTTAGAAAGTATTATTATTAGAAAGTATTGATATTAGAAAAACAAAGGAAAAAATGTGAGATTCCAGAGGGAGACTATTTATTCACCTGTTATAGGGACAGACCAATGTCATCCTCCACATATAAGCATGGCCTGCCTTTGATCTTTCTGATAATTCTTGCTTGTTCCTGACCCAGGTCAGTTCAGTTTGTATTCATTCACTATTTCAAGAAGTATATCATTAGTGTTGTCTGTATGCCAGCTATATCCTGTGCCCAGCTTTAGGGCATTGTGTTTTATGGGCAGTCTGCTAACTCAATAAGTTAACATACTAGTTTCAGTGTCTACACTTTGCAAAAGGCAGTGGCTTTTTCTTTTTTAAAAAAGTCCTGCATTTGTCTCTTGGCTAAGACAAAGATTTGTTCTGATAGTAGTGATTTGATATATTAATACATGTTGTAATCCAAGTTGGGAAAAGCAGCTTTACTGATACATTTAAAAGGTAAATGTTTTTTCTGTGGATACTACAATTTAGGCGTAAACTGAGACCTGTATTCAGTTTATAATCCTAAATTGCTGGTGAATATAGTCATAGAAATCTCTATGAAATAATGTAAATCCTTTTAAAACAGACAAAGACATTTTGAAAATTTACTAAGAAAATTAGTCTTTAAGACAAAAATTGAACTCTTGCACTTTCCCTAAATGTTACTAAAATTGCCTTTTCATCAGGACATTCTCAAACTATCTCAGTGTGCTGAATTTACCTGCAAGAGCAGGAAGGCTGTGGGTGGGGTCTGATGGGATTATTTATGTATCTATTACAGCTCTTTGAAGGCAAAGTTTATAGTCTTTGGCCAAGTTGTAGATTTGCTCTTTGCTGAATCTCATCTTTTCCATCAAAAAAGTAATAGTTCATGATGACGTGACAAGTTTGTATTTGCAAAACCTACCTTTAGTTTTAGTTAATAATTAGTAAAGGTTATTAAAGGTATTTTGACATCAGAAAGGCCTTTTGATCACATATAAATTCACTTTGAAGTTATTGAGAAAATCTGTAACTTCTCAATATAGTCCCAAATCATTAGAAATCAGGACATGGAAATAACATTCAGAATTTGCTATGAGTGACACTTGATCTTTAATTTTTATTTCTCAAAATAATCCTCTCTCTCAATGTTGACCTAATCTATGGGGTGAACTTGAATACCAGATAAATATTTTTTTAAGCAAGTCAAACTTTTGTTAAAACCTTGGCTAATTTGAAATAAAGGTTCTGCAATACATTCTCTAACTTAGCACTTTGTCAATTCTTTAGATCTGAGACTACTGCATAGTAAAAGAGTAGCCCCCACTGTAATTGATTGAGGCAATAGAATTTAAAATCAATATAGGGAAAGCATTAAGATGCTTAGAGGGAGAGGAAAGCACTCCTGAGTGTCATTTATTACTTTAAAAATTATTGATTGAGTGCTATTTTCTAAGAATTTTCAAGATATTAGGGATGTATCCAAGAACAAAAGAGACCCCTCCCCCAAAACATCTCATGGAGTTTTATAGGTGGGAGAGATAGAATAATAATATCAATTAATAAAATGTAAAAAGTAGATCTCATGGAGGTAGAAAGCATAGAATGGTGGTTACCAAAGACTGGGAAGGGAAGAGGGGAGGGGGGATGAAGAAAAGTTAGTTAAGGGATTCAAAAATACAATTAGCAATAGAAGGGATAAGTTTTGGTTTGATAGTACAGTGGTTTGATAGTACAGTACAATTATAGTTAATGATAATTTATTGACTATTTCAAAATAGCTGGGAGAGATTGGAAATATTCACAAAACAAAGAGAGAATAAATGTTTGACGTGATGGATATCCCAGTCACCCTGATTTGATGGTTACCCATTGTATACAGGTATCAAAATATCACATGTACCCCCAAATATGTACAACTAATATATACCAATACAAATAAGTAAAATATACCAATTTCTGAGGAGAAAAAGCCAAGAGTGGAAGAGGAATATGAAGTGTGTGTTTGTCAGTGGGCAAACAGATAGTGTGGTCCTGATAGAGTGAATTTGGGAAGAAACCTAGAAGCAAGGGACATATCTGGGGTAGAGCATTCTAGATAGAGGTCCTGGCAAGATTAAGTACTGAGCTGGGAGCTTATTGTTGGATTAGAAAAGAGGCCAGTGTGGTAGAGGATGGAGCTGAGAGAATGAGAGAAGTGGGAGTTGAGGTCAGAGGGATAATGTCTGATCAGGTCACAAAGGATCTTGTCAGTCACAGTAAGAACTTTGGCTTTTGTTCTGACATGTGAAGCCAGAGCATTGACAACATTTTCATTTTCCTTATGTTTTAACAGGATTACTCTCTGACTGTTGGAAATACATGGAAGGGTGCCGGTCGGGGCTGGGACAGCAAGGAGGAGGGATGGTAGGTAAGTAATGCAAATACAGGACCTGGTCCTGTTTTTATTTAAAAATTTTCTGTTTTGCTCATTATATATTTTTTGCATTGGGTTTTTTTTTAAATATTGTGTTAAAATATCATTTATGATTACTGAGATTTTTGGTGCCACCTTAAATTTTGTATTGGAGGCAAGTAGCTTACTTGCCTTACTTAACTCACTCTGGTTGGTTCTAGTTGGTAGAAGGGCAAAGGGAGAAGCAGGGAGACCAGTTAGAAGCCACTGCAACATCCAGGTGAAAGATGATACTGGCTTGGACTAGAGTGGTGGTGGTGGAGATGGTGAAAAGTGGTAGAATCTTGGATATATTTTGCAGACCGATTAGATGTGTTGTCCTGGAGAAAATAAGGAGTCAAAGATGGTACCCAGTTTTGGGCCTGCGTAGCTGGAAAAATAGCATTGAGGAGTAATGAGTTTATAGAAGGAGAGCAGAGGCTCGGTTTTGTGCATGCTGATTTCAAGATGCCTTTTAGATTCCACATGGAGAAGTTGAATGGACAGGTAGGTATATGAATCTTAATTTCATTGGAGAGTTCCAGGCAGGAGGTATTGACTTGGAAGTTATCAGCATAGCGATGATATTTAAGCTGTGAAACTGGTTGAGATCATTTAAGGACTCAGTATAGGGAATAGATCCAACACTGATCTCTGGGTCACTCCAACTTCTGGAAGGTAGAGAGCCAAGGAGGAACGAGCAAAGGACACTGAGACAGGGCAGCAGAAAGGCAGGATGGGAACCAGGTAAATGAGATGGTTTGATGAGACCCTGGAACTAGACTTCCTGGGTTCATACCCTCATTCTTCCTCTTATGTGTACTCTGGGCAAGTTCCTTAACCTCTCTGTGTGTCAGCATCCCTAACTGAGCAATAATAGTATCTCTCTCAGGATCATTGTGAATATATAGAAAGGGCTTTGGAAGCACTCCTGGAATATAATAAATGTTGGATTACTGTTAGACATAGATATATAAAATTTAAAAGAAGAGAAAGGGAGAGGTAATATAATCACCAAGCACCTTAGCTTTTAATTCAGAGATTCTGCAATAAGAAATTCCACAGGTTTGTGAAACAGCACTGTTATCTAGACGGGAATGGCTGAGAGCACAAAGACCCCCCCAAAATTAAAGTTGGATGAGGGTTATGCTTAGTATGACAGGAAAGAATATATATTCATATATCCTCCTAA